AGAGTCCTGCTTTTAATCCAGATATTTAGATAGCAGACATAGATTTCTGTAATAAGCATACCGGAAAAATATTCTCCCAACTATATTAAAAGCTGGTAATTTCAAAACAGAATGCGGGTGATCTCGTTATAAAATGATGAAGATTGATCCAGATCAATCATTGAGCAGATGGAGCTGTTAAAGCAGGCGACCAAGTTTTAATCAATAATCCAATCAAGAGTTCATTACCAGGGCTGTGGCTGGACTGCTAACACTGCTTCGGGGATGCTGAAGAGATATTGATGATGGTATCTGGCCATGATGGGAAGCAAACTCATCATCACCTCTCTGCTGCACGAAGGTTGCTCCTCGTTCGTTCGCTCAGCTCCAAGTACGTTCGCATGCATTCATAAGCAGTTGAGCAGGCACCGTTTTAGACCCAAGTTTCCTCACAACACCGTGTGACTGATGGAATTCGTCAGTAGAAGGAACTTCTCCCCCCTCAGAGGAAATGTGCCCTTAAATATCCTTCCACTGAATATCCTAGAACCAAATTTTCTCCGGGGCGCATTTTGCCGAGTTAATGGAACGGTTTGTCTTTCGAGTGCATACCTCGACTGATGCACTCAGCAAAAAGGAATTTCACAGTTTTCTGTCCTTCGAAATTCCCCGAATAAAAGAAACATCATCGCTAATACAGTGCCGCATTAAAAAACCCGATAGCCCATTTCATGAAGATATGACCATCTTCTCAGAGCATTAAAAAACTCTAAAATATTTTCTTTCTGAGGTTCGATGGAATTTAAATCACGTGTTAATCTCATGAATTGATGAAATACTTGCAGAATTGCTTACATATCATGAATCAATTTCGAAACCCTTTAAAGAATGAATAAATGTATACTGAATTCTGACTGACTGCCTTTTGAAAGAAATGCCCTGCGTTTGTTATGAAAAATCGTATCAAGATTATTCTTTTGGTGGCACTAACGGTAATAACATGCATAAGGTTGGTTTTTGGAGAATTTGATCGATCGCATTCAATTCCTGAGAATATATTTCTTGGAAACTCGTCTGTTTCTTATCGAAATATTTTCGGGCTAGGAGAGGTAACATGTATTCAATAGAAGACTTGCTCAAAATCTTTGCGGCATAGCGATCGAATTTTCCAGATGCCAAGTGAAGCATATAGATACAAACTTTCCTAATGATACGCAGACAAGCTTAATTGATGCACAAAAACAACAGAGCCCGGGAATCTGGTTGCCCAGGAACAATGCCCAGAACCCCAGGTCGGCGCGATGACGTCCCTGCGGTGAGCTGTGCCAAACCCGGCTAAAATTAGCCGATGGCATGAAAACGCGTTTAGTGTGTATGTCGAGGTCGTGGTATTTATTCCCCCCTCTGTTCGTTTCGTTAAGCCCGCTTTCCAGGTGGTATAAGAGAGTAGAAATGCGCCACTAGGAAGCGCGTGGCGTGGATTGCTGCTTGCCCTGGCTGCAAAACCTTGGCCTTGGCCCGACCACTGGAAATTCCGCGGCGCGGATCTTTTCTGTCCCTGGTCCTGCAATCCTGGTTAGACTGGCAATTAACGGCGAATTTCAAGCGATATCAAGATTTTATTCTGATTCTGAAATCACAATGCAATGCCTTTCCGGTGGAAAAATTACTATTCACGGATAAAGAACTGCTCCTTATTGATGAGGACCACAGAAAATTCCACGTCCACGTCTGCTGACCTGATGCAATCATTCGTTAAAAAACACTCGTGCTTGGGATTTTCTTCTAGAGAGACGCATTTGATGTGAGATATGATTTATTTCGAAATTATTTCCCGTCCGAATGTTGCAACCACAGATGGAAACTCTCCTGATAAGCTGAAGGCATTTTTTCATTTCTCGGAAACAAACGGAATAACTAAGAAAAAACTGGAAGTTTGAAGAAAAATTACTGAAGACTATTAAGCGAATTAAAAAAAAATTTGCCATTTTCACGCAGACATTGTTACATTTTTTCCATTTCAAAAATGAAAATCCGTTCTTCTAGAAACCAATGAATGATTCATGAAGGATTAAAAATACTGAATTTCGCATGAGATAATAAATAAGTCGGAGGATTTCCAAAGCATCGAAATTATTTCAAATACAGGTGAGATCTCAATCCAGGAAGGTGATATCGTCTGAGGTAATTTATCCCCTATTACATATGTTTTGGTGGTCAATGAATTTCTTCCGTTGTATGTTCAAGCAGTTCAATTACAGCGATACGAAATGCATATTTGTTACGTAAATACGCAGTGCATACTTAAATTGAATCGATTTTAATTACGTTAATTCCATAAGGTGTATTCAACGCATTGAATTTACTTTCTCGAGTGCCTTCGTTTCATTTCATTCTGAATTTTCTCAGTTAAACTTTAAAGGGATGAATTTACCAAAAAGGAAAAATTTTTAAATTTACAATTTACAATTTACTGGAATCTTACTAATATTACAACTGAACGAGATACGCTCTTGATATGGAATTCTTTTTGCAATCATCAATTTGTTAAGTCAAAAAGTTTTATGTACAGGGACAAATACGTAAATGGCGTTTCATTAGAGTGGTTTCTTGGAACGAAACAAGTCAGTTTATTCTCTTCTCAGTGGGCGTCGTACTTTGTTTTAGAATATTGTAAATATATTTAAATTCAATTGCTTAAATGTTTAAATGTTTTCGAGAGAAATGTATTCCGCAGGTTTTTCCATTGTTATCCTGCTTGATTAAAGCATACAAACAAGATGGCAAAGATTGAGACGATCGCGAGAGAAGCTATTTCCGGAACTGTCTCCAGAGATTAGTATTCTGTGTGGATATGAGAGATGGTCACATATTCCGGGAAATGGGTCTTTTGAATGACTAGAAACCGTACATTCGCGAGATGATCTACATTTCTGAAGCCAGTGATGATAAGATACAACATGATTTTATTCGCAATGCTTCCAAGAACTATCTGAACCGGAAAATGTTAGGAAATTTAGATCATTGGACATGGTTCTTTCGAAGCGAACTTGTGTCGTATACGTTTTCTGAAATTCTCCGGTAGATCCTATAGTGAATATTTTGAGGAGGAATGTCAAAATTCGTATTTTAGTCCTTGCTCGCTCTTGAGATTGAAATGCTCGCCTCTCGAACTTGCGCCGCCTTCACTTAACGGCTCGCCTGTCTGCGATGCTAAGAGAAATTTTATGCGTGTCCGATTTTGTTTTATTTTTTCCCATGAGCAAGTCAAACCGGAAATCCCCGCTCATCGCCGTTGTTTGGAACAAGAACAAGAGAGAGACAGGTGGGAAACGGAAGCGTCTTGACTGCAAGTCGTGCGGGGGCCAGTCGGGGGGCGAAGGTGGGTCCGCACGTCGGCGAACGGAAAACCCCCCTTCGGAACAGTTCCGCGGAAGTTTGGAACCACTGCCCTGATCGTGCTGGTGACTGGGTGTGGTGGTGACCTCAATAGCAGTGGACTTGGCAGTGCTGGTACGGTACTGACAGTGGGACGCCAGCCTCAGGAATATGAGTGAGCGAAAAAATCATATGAGTTCGCTCGCTTCCTAGGACGCCGAATCGCTCACGACGCATATAGTGAATATTCCTTTTTTAAATCTTCTTTTGCTAGGGATAAAGCAAGTCGGAAGGCAAACACGATTCACAAACGCCTCACTCAACACATGAGCTAAAGCATCTTGGTTTCAATGATTTGATAACCCTGAGAATCAAAAACCCAGCATACCCAAAAAATCAGAAAGGACCTTCAATAACTGCTTTTTTCCCTTCAAAACCATGGGATGTCATTCTCACAGGCAGGTCATATTTTAGACGTGAAAAACTACCGAGAATGAGAGATTGAAGGTGTGTTGGCCGTTTTTGTGTTGGGAAGTATTGGTCTATAAAATTGTCCAAGACACACACATTCATGTGCGTAAAATTATGATTGGACGTTGAGTCGGAGTCAGGAATCAGAAGAAAAAAATTAGCGTGTTAATTCCAGGGGGTTATGGCATCCAGATTCTTGAATGGACTGAGGTAAAGTTATAGGATCATGTCGTGAGAAGGGCAAGGGGTGGGAATTATTTTGATTCGAAAATTATTCGTGTTCACAGGGAAGACTAAAATAAACATTCTATTCAAGGGTTAGATTTACTTTTCTGTGTGGTGATGCTGAAATTTAAATCCTAGATTCCCAAATCCGGTTTCAGGAAATCCTTCAAGTTTTATACCATTGATTAAACAGGAATGGAGAAGACATTAAATTCGCCATACTGTATAAATACTTGAGCCGTAGGAAAAATGAGAGGTCACCAAAGAAAAATAACCCTCAAGTTTCATATTTTCCGGCTAAGCGTGAAAAATGCGAAAATATATTCACGGAAGTATCATGATTTTCCAGACTGACTTCAGCGTTCCTTAAATATTAGGATCATGCAGGCATGTCAAAAATGTCAATCGAAAGATCAACATTTGTATTCTATTATTTCGTGACGTAGTAGCTGTAACACCGACAACCCTACAGAGGGATCTAAAATATTTGTAAATAAAATTATATCGACAAAAAATTATAGTATGACACGGTTATTTGAAGTCCGGTAACTATTGTCATACTTAAATAAGATTTTTTAAAAAACAGTAGGGTTTGCATCAATTGTTCGCCGCTCCCGCTTTTTTGACGTAGAGTCAAGCTGGGAAGCTTGATTCGGTTTCCGAGACCAGATTACAGGGGGATCCCCGATTTCAGGAAGCTGGGAATACTCGTATCTCAGCCGGGTTGTTTCCGTCATCAATAACCCGGTCCCTAACCCTTGGTGTCAAATGCAAACCCCCGTGGGGGACCCGGAAGAGAACAATTCGCCACAAAAAAAAAAGAGACCGGGTGACACTGAGGGGTTAGCTAGGGAAAGATAAGAAGCCTAGCGGAGAGATGAGAAGCGACGGGAGAAAATGAGAAATGAATCCCGTTACACGTCGTGTCATCAACGCGTTTTCCTTTCAGTACTATCCGTACAACACTTGGTGATTTTTTCCATCCCCGGCTGAGCTACAGTGTCGCGTCGCGTGTGTCGCGCGAGTGCATCAGGGACTTCGCTGTCGCTCGACGACCATGTCGTCTCGCCCGCCGTTCTGGAGAGTGCCTCGGGCCAGGAGGGATGATGACGTGAGTTGATGCTTTCCTCCGCAATTTTCCCATTCCCAGCATTTCTCCTTTGCAAGTATTTTTGCCTCTCGTCTGATGCACACGTCCTATAGTCACTCTGGTATTGTTCCAGCAAAACATCCGAGAAAGCATCCCGTGTCGGTAAGTGAATTAAAAACGCGAAGGATTCCGGAAGATCTGTGCGTCATTTGTGAATAAATCGATAAAGGTAAAAAAATTATCGCACACGAAAAGTGTGCAAGCGGATAAAAAAGCGTATGGAAAAGCGACAAGTGTGGATCTCGCCATAAAAAAACCAGCGAGATTATTTCTGTAAGTACAACAATGTAATTTATGTATTCGTAATTACGTAACCGCACAGAGTAAAAAATATACTAACCCAATCCTAGCGCATTATAAAATTGATTCAGCGACTGACGCGTGCTGCCCACCTATTTTACCCACTTAATTCATGACATGGTATGGAAAAATTGCTTTAGTGTGACTATCCAAACAAATAATTTAATGATCGTTCCCTGGTCCAAAGAGGCTTTTTTGACAGGCGCTTGATTGATTGATCAGCAAGCTTCATTTTCCGCTTTTCGGCGGTCACAATGTTGCAACATCCAAACCCCCTCCTCTCCCCTCCCCCATTCATCCAAATGCATTCCATCTCATCAGGTTGGAAAATAAAGAAATAAGCTGTATGTGGATACAGGATTAGAAGAAAATAAAATACAATCCAAAATGTACAATTGCACAACTGATGTAAATGCATACACTTTCTTCCTCTCTCTCTGTTAAAAAAATTAAAATATCAATCATAAAAAGGGCATCATAAAGTAAATACTGAACCCAACTTAAAGCATAATGTGTTCGCCCTGCTCATCCCAGAAAAGTTTTATTTGATTAAACGATTTGGAGGGAATCTTTGAAGAGTAATCCTATAAAGTTAAAAGTTTATCTTGGTCCTCTAAGATTTTGGAAAGAGTCTTTTAATTGAATTTCAAGAGTCAAAAATCTTTTTGGAGCTCATAACAGGCGCTTAAACTGAATGTTTTGCTCAAGCGCTGATTTTTATCACGCTATTCTGGAATGCGCCCGAATGTCATGCTGCAAGTTGTATCATATTTTTTTGTGTTTTCGAGTGATATGGAATTGTCTTCACAAAGTAAGGGAACGAACGTGAGACCAGCGTCAGGTTCATATTTCCTCTGTCCTTTTTCGACCTCGTGCGTGAGACGAAACTCGCTGATTTCCTTGATTGCTTCTCCGTCTCTGCGTGCAATATACGGAATGAGCAGGTCACCAGTTTTGATGATGCGAAGACACTCCGTGCTGGGCGGAAAGGAGGGAAAAAGAGTTCCGGGTCATGCAGGGCCCATGCGGGATATTGCTTCCGCAACAAGCTTCCTTCCTGTCTCGTATCCGGCCGCGCCGCAAGATGCTGCGAAGCGCGTTCGTCGCTAGTCAGTGACTATAGAACTGGATTTGCTCAAACAAACCGAGATTTCATGCGATGATGCATGCATGGAACGGCTCGTCAACCTCCTATTTCGTCGCAAAATGTTTGTCGACTTGCCTGTCCTTTAGTCTTCCTGGCACAAGCACGCGAGCAAGTACGCGGGTTGCTTCAATAACGACCCCCCAGGCTCCAGTATTTTCCATCAGCAAATGTTCCCCCGAATCTAAAGGTAATTCCACATGAGTTCAGATCGCAAATTGGATTCCACCGAGAAGCTGGAATACTGTTTGCTCTGATTTCGGATCAAGTGCTTGTAAGCTTCCCGTCTATCACGCAGTACTGTTGGCAGAGCAAGCATTCCGCATGTATTGATCGAAATATTCCGATCGCCGACTGTCGGGAAGCGAGAAATTCGAGGCAAATCTTGGAGATGACTTGGAACAATAAGTCTCAACCTGAGCTCTGCTGAGCCCTTCTCGGCCCTAACGGGTATCTATCTCTGCTCCAGGAAAAACAAAAACTAAATGTAATTTGTTAGATCAAGGGTGAAAAACGGAAGATCATACTCGACGACTTGAGAAGTAAAGCCCACGAAAATCAGGGAAGGACTCCTTCGTATTTTACTGAATATGAAGATTGTTGACATTTAGTTCCCATATCACGCATCAAGCCTAATTTTCTTCGTCATCACATTGATTCTCCTGAGGAATAAATGCATGAGATGTGCTGTACTGTAGTATGTTCGGGAAATAGAGAAAAACTACACCAAAAATGTACAAATATCAAATGTATTTAAATTTAGGAAAAAACAAGGAGCTCAAAAGTTTGAGAAAGGGTATATAAACCTGTCACTTGAAGAGCTCTTACGAGCAAATTAATGTCAAAAATTACGCTACCATATGCATGGAATTTTTAATTTTGTAAGACATGAACTTCCCGCATCAACGCTTCGAAGGAAAATACAGGGGCATACTATATGCAAAAATTCCAGATGCATTGTTCCCTAATCGATATTTTGTCTTTTTTTCAATAAAATTCTTGGTGGCATTCTTATGGGGTATCTCGGGACAGTCGGTACATGAGCATTGTATATGAATTAGAATTAAAAACTATTTTTTTCACCATCAGAGAGTGAGACTTGAATAAGTGGTCCTATTTGTATTTGCTCCCCTGGAAGTGGTCTGGTTAGGAGAGATTGAACAGTATTAATTGATTATCATCTTTTAACCGGATGTCCAGGAAATATTTTTGAAGCTATTTGAATGTTTGAATTGTCTTTCTTTTGACAGCTTTGAATTTATTTTGTCTTAATTTTTCATGGAGGCATTTGGTTGAAATCTAATTTACGCTGGAGCGCCATGCAAATGAAACTGGTTATTATTTTAGTTTTATCTTTTATCTGATTTTCTTGTATGGTCTGATTGTTGCTTTGGTGAAATTCAATGCTGGATGATGAGAAAATGAGGCAATCTCATTGAAAGTATCAACAGAGGGTCCGTTTTCCTTGGCGGATTATTATATACAGTACATTGCACGGTTCTCTCAAGAGAACTTTCCACGTATATTGCTTACAAGCCATGTTAGCACTCCAGCACTTCAAATCCCCTCTTATTCGGAGATTTTATGAAGCCCTCAATAGTTTAGTAATCATTGCGGGTTGCAATTTATCATTTTCTGCATTTTATTGCGCCACTGTCGTATAACTAACAATTTACTGTACCAGAGTTCAGATATCACATGTGCATAGCTTGATTTAATTCCATAATCATGGCCTTGAGTTGAAGATGTACTAGTTCATAATTAATTCTTATTCAATCTGAAGAGAATACTTTTTTCCATAAAAAATACCAAATCCTCTCCAAGTGGTTTTATATTTACGTATGACGACTCCACGTTAAGCTCTGAATACCCATATCACCTATACGAATTGTCTCATGTGCCACGAGTTGAAAAGCCTCACTCTAGAACCACGAAGACGGTACAGTATCTCTTAGCAACCGGTATTCCTCGCCATTTCGTGCAGCCAGAAATTCGAAACAGAGGGACACAGAAGTGGCCTACTTTTTTGCTTCGCCGAACACAAGACCAGGGGTCTTTTGGAAGTGTAGCCCCTGGAACAATAGTACTCCGGAATCCTGAGCGAGAATACGCGAGTGAAAACGTCCCGAGAGGAGGAAAAAGGCTGATCCGTGATTAACTTCCTTCCGACACTAAATCACCCTCAGTCTCGGGTCATATCTCTCGCAACCCGAGGCATCCAACGTTCTCTCCCAGCCTTTGCCCCGGGAAGACGCAAGAAAAAAAAGAAAAAGAGAAAACAGCAGGGAAACCTTTAAACCTCGGTGCCAATTTATTTCTGCCTCTGATCAGATAAGAACTGGGCCCGGGGAGCGAAGGGGGAATCATTCTCGCTCTGCGACCTCCCCGCCGCAAGCGAAAATAAATGATTCATTCAAAAGTGGGGTCAACGACCCCCATCTCCTGAAAACTGGGAGATTATACGAATAATAATAGAGATATACTGATTTCTCCGTCGTCCATTTCGTGGAAAATAGGATGATAGTCCCTCCGCAAATCGGAATTAAACAAACGAAGACTAGCTGGAAGCCATACATCTGACTCCCTGCGCCAAGAGAAAAGTGACAGGAAAAATTCCGGAGTCAGTTGTCAAAATATGTGCCCTTCGAGATTATTTTTTTATTCGACATTCTTCCATACGGAGATCCAGTTCCCATCGATGTCCGGTACGCAGCTTGTTTTCTCCGACTGGAGTGTTTGTGTATTACCCTTTTTTTTCCTTTCCAGAAGATAACTTCACTGCTGATAAGAGGATAAAAATGTTACTGTTTAGCGAAGATCAACTGGGGTTTTTTTCTTCTCCGCTTCCTTCCCATCTCCTCGAAAGCAAATGACGGTGTTTTTGAGTGACCTGGTAGACGCCGTGTTCCCTGTCGAGAGGAAGACAGGAGAGGTGACGATTTATTTATAACGCTGATCACACCGGCTCAGCCTCTCCTTTAAAATCATCCTAGCAGTCGCACTCCGGTCGCCCTTCTACTCACTGACAGTGAACCAAATAAACGAGAGCTTAGCGAGGGTTTGTCGGCATTTGCGACTTCGTGGATTTTACTTGCCCTCAAAAGAACTGAAAGCATTTGCTCGAACTTGCGATTTTTTACAAATTTTATTTCGCGAGATTTTCGCGCGCTTGGGGCATGAAAGATATGAATTCTCTCCGCAGGATGGAATCCTTGAAAAATATAATATTCGTATCCCAGGAAGTTAAATGGGTCCTTTGTACTCACCTCTCCTTGCGAGAATCTCCTCGATTATCCGTAGTGCTAAGTTTAAAATGAATTGTTTATTTTATATAAAAGGTACCGAGCGGTTATTGAGCATGCACGAAAACAGCTCCTCTGAAAGTGTCGCGTGTCGAAACATCAGTGCGGGGCAGAAAATCATGTGCCACAACGTTTTTTCTTCAGAATCGCACTAAATTATAAACCAATAGGTATACATTTCCGTTAGGTTGAAGGTGTTATCCATGCAGTTCTGGACATTTTGTAGATCCATTCATGACAATGAACTACAATTATTTCTATTTCCTTCAACCGTTTTCGGCTGTTTATTTGATCATTAGTCTTGAAATTTTACTACGAAATTCACTAATTACTGTGGACACGCACAAAGATTCGTGGACTTCAGCAAGTTACGAACAGAAAATCATAATTTTGCTGACAAATTAAGATGAATGTTGAATGAAGCGAAACGGAAAAAGACGGAAAATATCACGTTTTTGGCGTGGAAAAAACATGTATCATGTTATGCCTAACGACTACTCATGACTCACAAAATCTTGCGAGATTAAACTAGTTAACAAAAATTCAAAAATTTCCGCCGAGGGAAGTTAAAAAAATTCAACAAGAGAAATAATTTTGACATCATCCAATCCAGAACGAAAATTTGAAGCGCAGGTTTGTAAGGTAACTTTTTGTAAATTTCGGGGTAGATGCCACGTGGTAGCACTCACCCTCTTCATATTTGAAGAATTGGACACCAATGGTGAGAGGGACCATTTTATGTGAGTGAAACACGATCAATGGTTGTTTCAAAATGTTCATGTCTTCTGATCGAGTCATGTCAGGATCCACCCTTCTCTCGCCTTACTCGACCTTCCTCTGCGAAAACGGGAATATTTCCGAATTTTGTAAACAGAAAGACCTGAAATACACCCGAGTTAAGACTGAAAGGCCAGTAATTTTAATTTTTCTATGCTGAATAAAAAATTTCCCGCTTCTTTGATGCATGGACTTTTAGCAATTTCACCCTTTCAACATAACTTTGAAAAATTTTTGTACTTTTTTAACGTGCAAAATGCTTTTTTTTTTGTGTAAAGGAACGAGCGAATCACGAAAGTGTTTTCTGGAAAAATTTGTATTCCTTTTTTTTTTTAATCCTGCTTTTAGCGCTCATTTGTGATCGTTTTTCACTTTGCTTTCAATAATTTGTGACGTGGAATAGTGTTCCACTTGTCTTCCATAAGTTTTACATTACATCTGTAATTACTGCTGGTTCAATTTTTGGTCTTGTGCGGTGAAAATGCGATATTCTCCGAAGCTGAAGAGGCAATGGTGTTTCCGAGTCATAAAAATCACTCATGAATGCTGTTGATTAGACAGTGAAGTACGAGTAGATGGACAGTATTTCAAAAGTACACTGCCAAGAAAGTTGTGTGCGGAACTTGGAGATTGGATGCTCGCGGTCGGATAGCAGACAAGAGGTTTAATTACACTAGGAGCGAAGTTGAGACAAATTGTCCTATACTCTTCGCAACTTTTGTTGAGCTGCCAACAATCAAGCCGGAGAGTAAATCAAAGTATATCTTTATTAAGTTTACGATTATTCAATTTTTACAAGTTGAATTCGCTTTTCGGTGCATCAAAATGTGGAATTTATGCGTGCAGCATCATAGTAACGCATTTCAAATATAGTAAATACGCTTCTT